CATTTTGAGCGTTGAAAGCAAATTATTCTGATTTATGCCAGTTTCATTTTGGCGTCGTTGGCGTAACTTTAGCATCTGTTGAGAATATTTTACGCAAAACAGCTCTTTATACTGAAGGGTGATTTGTTTTACAAACTTTATAGGGCGTTAAAGGAATCATTTTCGCCTCTTTCGTCTCGCGTTTATGGATTGTTAACTGCAAACATTTTCTACTTGCCTTCACCCTCGTCTTTCCTGTTAGTATCGTAAAGATAACTGCGATTTGACTTCGTAACTAACGTGATAAATTTCACAAATTTTTAACAGCAATATTTTGCTTTATTACACATTTTCGCGAATCCTCTAAAACATCACATCGTTTAGTAACACTTTTTATGTATTGTGTTAGAAGAATTAAATCTAGCAAATTACGTAATTCAAAATACGCTTAAAATGTAAGCTCATTTCAGTGAATATACATGCACTTATATAACGTGAGTCACTATCGGAAAATCTCCCAATAAGGGGTACTGTAGAAGGAAAAAATATTCACATAAAGGTGTTATAAAATAATAATTTGAAGTAGTGTCCGACCGAAACTGGTTTTTACGACTGAAACCGAAACCGAAACCGAATTTCGGCAACAGTTTCAGTTTCGGCCGAAACTGAAACCGAAACTTCCTTATAAGGATCATGTTTTGAGAGAAAAATAAAGAAAACGTTATTAAAATCAGTCAGTTTTATTTTTTTATTTTTAAATCGAGCTATGTGATACGTGTTTTGGCAATTTTTAAAAATCAACCCTAAGGATGAAATGTTGCTAGTACGTTTATATTTGAAAACTAAGATGGCTACATTACATAAAATTAAAACGTTGTAAGGGCGAATCGGGAGTTAAAAGATTTTATAAAGAAACAATATTAATTTCTGCGGGCGAAACCGCCCGTAACAGCTAGTAGATAATAAGATAATGTAACAAGTATAATGTAAAAAATAATTTCTGTATATGTAAAATAATTATATTTCACCTACCTTATCATTTTTGAGGAATGTAGATAGCAACCATTTCAGAGAATGAAATTAGTAAACGGTAAATCTTACAAAAAGGTACCAGGCTGTGGTACGATATATGAAATTACTTGGGCTGTACATTGTTACGTGGGGCAGCCACGGAGAGCTCTACGTACTAGAGTTTAAGAACATGCTTATCAGTATAAAAGAGGTAAATGAAGAAACATCGATTATTATTATCATAATTGCAACAGGGGCGAAGGTAATTCAGATAGGAATATCTACACAAACTATTAGAACCAAACAACCTGTCATTTTCTTGTTTTGATTTTTTTATAATTCCGGAAATGTTTTATTGAAAAAAAGCTATTAACAGAATAATTCTGATTAAAAACATATATCAAAAGCTTTTTAGTAATGATAGTTTTAAACTTTTATTATTGTAATTTTTAGAGTTAACTAAACATGAGAACATTGCATATTACAGTCGCTTTAATTTATTACAACATTGGCGACCATTTTGCTATAACGACATCAAACCTAAGTCCCTTGAATTTAAAGTATACTTTAGTACAAATGCATGTGGCTATAGTGACTTCGAATGTAACGCCGAGATCGGGTGTATCGACTGTTTTTAATGAATTATTTGTAACAAATCCTAATAATCCCATGCAGATATAGTGACCGGAATTGGCTGCCAAAGACACAAAAACGTTTTTTATCATTTTTTTGCATCCACACAGATGGTCAGCAAGTGTAGTGACTTTTACCGTTTGTTCATAGATGTTAGTCAGGTAGGTAGGTAAGCGTATACGTTAAAATGGTACAAAGTGATATTCTGAGTAGCAACTGTGTTTAGTAAACTTTTGAATAAGTATGACTCCTAGATTTATACGTATCTGTATCTGTTTACCTTTGCCTGTAGCGACGAAAATACAGTCGCCCCTTCGTCGTCGTTATACCCGAAATCTACTGTTTACTAATTTTTATAATTATATCTCTTAACAAATTTTATGTTGTCGATAGCACTCGATTACATTTTTAACTGCTTTTATAATATGTTATTACACGTGGTCCGTGAAATCTTGTTTTTCCAGACGTTTCGCCGTTCTTTGCTGACGGCATCTTCAGATCAACAAAGGACCCTCTAGATCCACTATTAACAGGAGTTTACCGTTTACCCTGTGAATGTGGTAAAGACTACATTGGGATGACGCAACGCAGCATATTGACAAGGAGAAAAGAACACAAAAGAGCCATCAGATTACTTCAACCCGAGAAATCAGGTATAGCCGTATAGCTCAACACGCGCTTGAGGAAGGCCACACCATTACAGTTCAAAGAAATAACTGTCCTGGTTAGAACGTCGGGATCCTACAATCTGGCTAGAAGGGTAGCTCTGGAAATTAAACAACATCTAATAACAAAAACAGAGATGATGGCTTACATATCAGCAAAGCTTGGAAACCGACATTGAAAAATAAACAATGTGCTACGAACCGAAGGGGACCGAATCAACACAAAAACAACATAGACGCAGTGAACCATAAAACCACTTACCGTAACGATTCCAGTATAAGAATGGTAACCTGTTTTCAAACTGGGAGGACGCTGGTTCGATTCCGGGTCTGTCTGCCTTGGTCCAAGTTTTTCTGTGGTTTCCTTGGATCACTTAGGCAAGTGCTGCAGCAGTAATATTCCACAGATAATCTTTCATTCTCTTCTGTCTTCATTTCGTCCGTCTCAACTTTCTCACCCTAACCACCACCCACCCATTGCCACGATTCCTGAAGGCAGGCCGAAGAGGGCCTTCCGCCCTACCTTCCGACATAGTCCGGAGGGACTGCCCGCCCACCAGCATTACTGGTTGGTGGGAATGAAACACTCAAAAGTTTTTTTTGCAAACTGCATCATTTACGACTCAGCACCTATCTAGTCACCACTGAAGATGCCGTTAGCAAAGAACAGCGAAACGTCTGGAAAAGCAAGATTCCACGGACCACGGCCACAAAGCCCGGAAGAAAATACAGCATCGATAGACGCCGGCCGTGAAAGCCTAAGAACTACGACAACGTTACAGCCGACAAAACATTCTTACTAATAATACTGTTAAATTTATTATAGTTTAGAGCCTACATCTATTACCTAGTATTTCCTATGTTGAGATTGTACATACCTTATTCTCTTATTCCCTACTTTAATCTAAAAACGTCCCGGACTTGCAGCTCTCCATTAACAGTCCTCCCTAATAAATTCATTTCCAAAATACTAAGAGTTATTGCGTTTATTTATTGTACGAGGGTGGATTGATAAGTTTCCGGCCTGACCAAGAAAAACAAGGTTTTTAAAAATTTTTTTTTTTTGTTTCTCAACATAATCTCCTCCAAGGCTGATACATTTCTCATAGCGGTGTTCCAGTCTATTAATGCCATCTCTATAGACTGATTCGTCAAGCTCCTCAAAATAACCATTTACAGCTTCGATTACTTCTTCATTGTCCGCAAATCTCTTACCGCCAAGCCATTTTTTGAGATTAGGGAACAGAAAATAGTCACTCGGGGCTAGGTCTGGAGAGTAAGGAGGGTGCGGCATCAATTCAAACTTTAGATCGTTGATTTTAGCCGTCGCAACGATTGACGTGTGCGCTGGTGCGTTATCGTGATGAAACAAGATTTTTTTCTTCGCCAGATGAGGTCGTTTAATTTTCACCTCGTGGCTCAAACGTTGCAATAAGTCTGCGTAGTATTGACCAGTGATAGTATTACCCTTTGCAAGGTAATCAATGTATATAATACCTCTTGCATCCCAAAAAACAGTAGCCATAACCTTGTTCGCCGAAAAAATTGTTTTTGCCTTCTTTGGAGTTGGTTCCCCTGGTCCAATCCACTGTTTAGACTGTTCTTTGGTTTCAGGAGTGTAGTGGTGGACCCACGTTTCGTCAACGGTTACGAATCGACGCAAAAATTCGCTTGGATTACGCTTATACAATGACAAATTTGCGGTAGAAATGTTTTTTCGAATCAATTTTTGGTCGACTGTTAGCAAACGCGGCACCCATCTTGCACAGAGCTTTTCCATATGCAAATGTTGGTGCAAAATATGTTGCACACGTTCATATGACATCTTACAGGTCTCAGCTATCTCACGCACTTTCAATCTGCGGTCTCCCAGCACTATTTGATGAATTTTTTCGATCATATCTGGAGTTGTGACCTCAACGGGGCGTCCTGAGCGAGGCCCATCAGAGGTGCTCACACGACCCTTTTTAAACTCGGAAACCCACTGCTTAACGGTTGAATATGACGGGGAGGATGTCCCCAGTGTTGAGTCCATCTCTTTTTTAATTTCCTTCGGCGTTAACCCCTTCAAATAAAAGTATTTGATGACAGCACGATTTTCCTGCTTTTCCATTTTTACGAAAACCACAGAGGCGTCTTGTTCAGCGTGCTGTCAAACCTACACTAGCAAGGAGATCGGGCTGAAACTATAGCTACAAGCTATCCAAGGATGGTACTATAGAATGTCACCTCAAGGTAGGCCTAGTGGCGTCATCTCTTGGTTAGGCCGGAAACTTATCAATCCACCCTCGTATGTATGTATAGTGTTTATTCAACGTTGTAAATTTTAAGTTAAAAGTACAATTTTGAAGTTAAAAAGAAGTCTTATTTGCAATGCCAAATGAAAAATCTGTAAAAATTTACTATTTACATCTGTTTCCGCTATGGGCTATTACAAACGTTCATCTTTGTTGGAATTTTTTCTTTTTGTATTACACTAGCGAAATTCTGTCAACGTGTGTAATGCAAATTTTTCCATTACAATAAGTTCAAATTGCATTTATTGGACTCAATATTACTTTATATTTTAAATATATCTAAGAAAAAATAAAATATCTTTACATTCCGTCTTCAACTCATCAGGTGTTGAAGAAATGTGTAGAATTTTGATCATAAAAGAAACGAGAAGTAAAAGAACTGAACTTCTAATAAGAAATAATTTATTAACACACTAATTATTACATGCTGTACATTATTTTAATCCATCAAAGACTTCACACTTCAAGAATCAGCCAATAATGTTCGTATTAATTAAGTAATTGCTCGATATAAATGATTGATAAGGCAGGATTTTTACAGGTCTCTATCTTAAAGTATTCTTAAATGAATAACGTAACTTGTAGAGCAATCAATAAGTGAAATACAAATTTTATATTCACTCGACGAATCACTTCGACCTGGCGGTCATTATCAAGTGTAAAGTACATACTAATTCCAAACCAGTTTGAGCAACACTTACGCATAAGTAAAATAATGTTTACAAAATTGATTGTTGACGATTATTATCTTTCGTTATTTACAATGTTAAATTATGTATAGTACATAGTAGATGTCACGGAAGCAATTTAAAATCGTTGGATGCGATTGGCCAATTTCGCTGTCTCTAGTAATCTGCTACTTTCTCATTAAACTACGAAATCCTATAAAGACAGGCAACATAATAAAGAAATGAAACTAATTCTGCGTTATTAAAATGAAGATGCACCTACCTTAATTTGAAAATTACAACTCTTGAAATACTAGGAGAGATTAATAATCTCTGCTTAAAATTCAAGAAACCTACGTTCGTCATCCTCTCTACATATCCTTTAAAACCTTCTTTTTCCACCCGGTGGTGATTGCGACTCCTGTGTCTTTCATTAATCATGTGCGAGGTTGGTTATTATGGTGGATGCTTGATGTGGATTGGAACCAACGAAGTGAATGTATTACTAAATCATAGCTTTCTTAATAGAAGAAAAACCTCATTCTACTTTTAAGGTGACCATATTTTTTTTACCCAACGCTGGACGGCTTAAAAAGAACGGCATTTATTTCGAAAGGTTTTATGAAGTAGTTCAGTGCAATGAGATTTTTTTAGATATCTATTATTTTTTTATTTTATAATAAATTCACATACATACTCTTTAATTTTAAAGTTGTGCTAGCAGAGCCCCCCCCCCCTTCCAACATCGATTAAATATCTGATCAGGTTCAAATTATACTTCATTTACTTTCTGTAGCGATGTGCCCCTTCCAATGTCTTGGATGCGCGTTGGCAAAATCGTAGGTAGGGAGAAAAAAGCTCATTATACTCTCGACTCTTGTTCATTAAACATACTTTTTCATACAGTACCTGCCAAAAGTTCTGTTCAATCATGAATAATAGTGCGAGTCGAAAACAAGGTTTAAAACCTTTAATATGTCTTCAAATATAAACGAACATCTCGTTGATATTTTCAGTAGTAATTGGTACCAATAACAGCACATTTGAGCAATGAAATTGTAGTGGATAAAATGGTTAATTTTTCCGTGCAGTAGTGTACAGATCATACGCTTCTCACCGGTTAAGAGAGTTATCTCCTTCCTTTTCTGGCCTAGTACTGTTCTTTTCTACTTTGCGCCGGTCAAACGGAAGGTCGCATCGCTACAGAAAGTAGTAGTATAAGTTAACACCTTTTTTAATTATCAAGGTCTTGAACCGGTTATCTTGATCAGAAGGTCGGCTTTTCGATGGGGCCCAGAGGTCGGGTGGCTCCCGGGGACACCGAGATATACACAGAGAAAAATTAAGAAAAATTACCATGCTCGTTAATATAAAGTGAGTGCAAGAGACATGTACGAGGTTTGTTAAACAAATATACAAATTTTGTATTTTTTAAAAAATTGTCTATTTATTCATGAATATCTATCTTGCCCCGTTCAAAGTAATCCCCACCAGATATTATACACTTGTGTCAACGTTTCTTTGAATCCTAACCCGCGGAAATTCAAAATTCGCAATACTTTTTGAACAGACCACGTATAGACAAAATTTAACATTATTAGTCCAATAAATTTTGTAATAGAATCTTATAAATTTTACTATAAAGCAAAGGAATTTTTACCCGTGCTAGTACGGGAGATACCCAGGATTTTTAGACAGCATGATAATTTTTCTCTCAGTGATATTGTCAGAACAAAAGGCTTATTCAAGATAAAACTTTAACATGTTCTGTTTGTTATATGTTTATAAACCAATATCCGGCCGACTGACTGGGAATTTTTTCTAGAACGTTTTTCTTAACGGTCAGTTCACGTGACTTGCGAATTCATACAAATTGGTTTGCACCTCCAAAGACTTTACTCCATTCTTGTTCCTGTTCAAATGTATTTTAACTTGTTTTGTTTAATTAATAAATTCACATTGTATTTCACTAAAACGGCTTATTATTAGAAAAGCTTTAACAGATATGAGCCACACGTCACGCATGTGACGCTGTAATGTAAGGCATCTATAAAACATTCTCAAGAACATCGTATTCCATTGTGTATTAGCTTATGTCGTGAGTAAATCATAGTTAATGCCTTTAATATGAAAAAGAGTATACTTATCCGTAGTAATATCTATAGATTCTGCTGCTTCACAAAATCTACCATCGTCCTTTTAGCGACATCGTGCTGTTACGTAACAAGTAGTCATATTCTTACCGTTTGATCTGGCTGTAAGTGGGTAATGAATAAAAAAAATACGTATGTATCATGGACGAATTGCCTCTTCCCAATTAAAAATCAACCAATGAAGTGCTGCTCTTTGCGACTTATGATACAACTAAAAAAAAATACTGAGGAATTTATGATTTCCTGATACTAAAAGTAGACAAAATTGACTTCAAATAAGCATGATAAACCAACATAGTATGTGTACAATATAGGAACTTATGACACTCTTTCCTATCCTGAGCTAATCTTCGCACTTCCCTAAAACTAGAACATCCCTCACTTAAATATTTGCCAACAGGTGCTCGTGAACGAGTATATCAAATAATTGTGTTAAATAAGTTAATTGTTTCTTTAATAACACGTTGGTATTGAGCACGTATTAAGGCATTCCACTTAAATTTTATTCATATGTTGGCATTTCCTTCAAGTCGTTACTACTACTTTTGAGGTCTGCTAAATTAATTCATATAACCATAATACTAGTTGAGCAAGTATCTTATTAATTTACATTACATAACATTAGTTATCAATTTTAGTATTATTTAGTGATAAAATCAAAAGCCCTACCGACTTCGTCCATGGTCATTCCACAGTACAACTGTCATGGACTGTCATTTAAACGTTAATTGTCAGGGAATCTTTTCGGATATTCCTTGACAGTACTCCAAATTCTTGTAATTTTCTTCTGAATACTTGTAACTTTCAACTAACATGAATATTGTTTGTGGAACTCATAACTGGCAGAACGTTTTTCAACAGCTTGCAGAACGAATTACTTTGCTCAAACTTAAGGAAGGAACTCTCAGATGCATGGCTGACGCACCTAAAGAAAAAAAGGACCCTTGTGCCAGCAATGCGCCCGATTCCTGTTCCGCAAGTTTTTCTCTGAACTCTGAAACAGAACAGGAACAACCAAGATGCCGTCCAAAAAGAGAAGATTCAGATGATGATGATGACGACGATGACGATATAGATTGCTTGAAACAATCTCACGTTCTATCCCCATCGGATCTCGAAAAGCTGTGTAAAATTCAACGACTTGCCAAAGAGGAAGCAGCGTTAAACGCGAAGTTAAGGTCTCTGGAACAGCGCGCAGAATGTACGGACATTGACGTGTGTTTCGATCCGAATACAACAAGCGTCACCCAGATCTTTGATTCCGGTGTAGACACCTGCATGTGCTCATCAAAAAAGAAAAAATCTGACCTCAAAAAGTGTGCTGAAGTTGATGAACTGGATAAAAAATTCCAGAAAGTCAATTGTTTGTTGGCAAAACAAAAAACCGATTTAAAAGTAGCTTTGGCTTGCGGATATTGCATGCTCGCCGATCCTAAAATTCGAAAAACGTTTAAGAGAGCAGAAAAATGGTTGAAATGTAGGAAGGACCGTCTTGCCGATCTGCTGGACTGTCTTGATGACGACTTGGAATGTCTTTGCGAGAAAGTTGAACAAAACAATTGCGAAAATACGAAAACGAAACTGCAGCTGTGTGTGCTACGGAAAAAATGCGACGAACTTGTGGCAGATATCCGACGAACGTTAGGATCGTGCTATTGAACAATGTAACTTTTTTATCTGCTTATAAGAAATGTACTTTTTTTTAATGGTAATCACAAAACAATGCAAAAAATATACACATGTATTAAGCACTTGTGTAAATAATTTTGTTCAATTCTGATAATCAAATACGTTACCTAAAACTAGAACAACCCACATCCTTAACTATTTGCGAACAGTAATCTAACCTAGTTATACCTCTACCCCTCTTAACTCCTGTTTCTGCCTCTAATATATGTCTCTGACTAGACCTTCATGTCTGAGGAGTCCCACCAACCTATCTCGCCTATTTTTAATTGATTTCATAATTCGCCTATAACACCACATTTCAAACGCTTCTAACCTTTTCTTTTCCGCTGCGCCTACTGTCCATCTTTCGTACCCGTACAGCGCCGTGCTCCAAACATGCAATTTGTCTAATATTTATCAATGGCAGCAAATATTCAATGATTGTGATTTACTACCGCAACTCGGATTTATTGCGAAATTGCGTTTATGTCATTCACACAGTATGTATAAATTAAACTAAATTTATTTTGAAAAAAATACTAAATAACTTATAGTTTTATTGTGCCATCTTAGAAATACTGGAAGGAGACGCAAACATCGTTATCTAATTTATGGTTTTGCTTTACTTTATTCTTCTGGAAAAGTATTAAATGTCTCATTAATACCCATCATCATCTAACAACAGTATAATCCCAGAATTGCTTACTGCAATTAACTAACTTATTACTTTTTAGCTTACTTGCTGTCAGAATAGTTGAATGGTCTTTCCATTCTAATCCAAATTATTCCCTGTGTATAAAAGTTAGTCTCTTTATATCCATCGTCATAAGGTCGTCAGTCCCGAGACTGGTTGGACACCCACCTCGACTCTTTCTTATCCTGAGCTAACCGTCGCATTTCCCTAAAACTAGAACAACCAATATCCTTAACAATTTGCGAACAGTAATCTAATATCTAGGTCTACCTGCACCCCTCCTATCTTCCGTTTCTGCCTCTATGTCTCTGAATAGACCTTCAAGTTTGGAGGTGTCTTACTAACCTATCTCGTCTATTTCTTATTGACTTCCATAGAGTCCTCTGTTGTGTTACTCTTTCTAATACCTGTTCAATTCTTACATTCTCTATCCACGATATCCTCATCATTCGCCTGTAACATCACATTTCCAACGCTTGTAACCGTTTCTTTTCCGCCACGCCCACTGTCCATGTTTCACACCCGTACAGCGCCGGGCTCCAAACATACACCTTTAACAATCTTTTTCGAATTCCTAAATTAATAGTTCGCGAGCATAGAAGCGACTTCTTTTTATTTAAAGTAACACGACCCTGCGCTATTTTCTGTTTTATACCCCTACTGGCTCCTTCCGTCCTGACTTATCCGACTTCCTAGATACCTAAAATCGCCCACTTCTAATATTTCGTCTCCTATCTTAATATTCGCCTTTTCCCTACTTTATCTTCCCTTGCATACCAGTATTTATGTTTTACTTTTATATAGGTAAGTGTAAACAAGTGGAATAAAAATGCTCTTTGAAGTTAGTTTTTTGTCAACATTCAAGCTTAATCCAACACATGCGTAAACTACATGGATATCTTACACAAGACATGAACCAAATAAATTTACGACTTTTTCAGGGCAATTTTAAAGTTATTAATCCTGACGCTTGCAAACTACCTTCTTAATCATATTGAAATGGGGATATTTTATGCACAATAGACGGTTTTAGAAACAAGTAAACTAGAAATCTCCAATCACTAATCTATTATTTATTAATATTTTGAATGCCGTCAATTGGACATAAAATAACCGTATTCCAAAATAACTAAAAAGAACTTCAGTTTGCATGTTTCAGGATAAATAACACCTTACAGCTACCGTTGAAGAAAACCTAAATTAAGGGGCGAAACGTTGCAATACGCTGGTTGAAATTTATTGTAAATAAAGTATTGTACTCATCTTATTTACATCAGGGTGGTTTGTCATTATTTATTATTATAAATTTACGTATTTTCATATTTTTAGATCCTCCTTTTAGGAAATGACAAAAGGAATAGTTCACTGCACACGACTTATAATTGTTATATTTTGCAGAGTGTTCAAATGAAAAATCAGAACTTTTCTTCAAGAATATCGCTAAATGTTTTTCATTAGTATTTCTGATAGTCCTGCACGGAGCATATCTAGACGAAGACAACGATTGAATGAAAGACGTAATAAGAATTAGACTGCAGATAAAAAACTAAAAATATTTAATTTAGGATTCATTTTGCACGTAAATATCAATAAAATATTGGACAATATGCTAATCCGAGCCAGTTGTAGTACATTAAAAAGAGACGCAGTCAATTTGAATTGAAAAACAATCCCGACTTAGGCATAAAAGTAACAAAAAGGACAATAAATTACTTACATTGTTACGTCGAAAGTATCCACTTAGTTACTAAATTTTCCATTTAACAGTAGTTAGTAATAGTACTGATATAACCATGGGAAATTCAATATCATCTTAAATCATTTCTCGGTGCCAGATTTTTTTAGTTTTATCGAATATATGCACATCTTTTGAACCAAAAATGATCTAAATCTAAAAAAGATAAAATTGTTACCTACTCGTACCATACTTTATGTGTTTAATTGATCAATCAATCAATTGCATAATTTTAATATAAATAAGAATGAATGGCTAAATGTGTTGCCAAGCGCCAAACTCCAAAACGGCTGGTCCAATTCGACTAATTTGTTTTTAAAACATTCCCTTAAGTAAGGGGAAGGTTCTTATGAAGAGAAACATTGCACACCATACCGTACATACCAAGTTATTTATTTCAATCGCTCTGTTGTGTTCGCAATTGACAGGACAAGGTTTGTATGAGTACGAAATTTTGGAAAATCCACGAAAATTGGTATTTTTATAATAAAAAAAAATTAACAAACACATTCGAAATGCTCAGTATTCTGTCGAAACTGCCAGACGCGGATCGCGATTTCGATCTTTTTGGATCTCATCAGCGCGTCGCAGACAGTTTCGACAAAACACACACCAATTTTTAGTTGAAATGTGGAGCTAAAAGGTTTTAGGGAGAAGCGATATTAATTTCCGCAATCAAAGCCGTAGGAAAAAGATACGGGATCATACAATTGCAGCTTGCACCCATCTTGTCATATCTTCGTTATACAGTAGAACCTCTATAACTCGAACATAAAGGGAGACGCTAAAAATTCGAGTTATAGAGTTTTCGATTCATGGAATTGTAAGCAAATTTTGATTCGACTTGTAGAGGTTAAGATTTATCCCTAACGTGTTAACGTTGAGTTATAAATCCTTAAGTGGTAATTGTATTTTATTATTGTATACTCCCTGATTAATGGTGGATTTACATTGCCGGCAAATCCTTCAAGTCGATCATTTACTTTTCTTCGAACTATAGACGTAATAAGTTGTAAGAGTTGTAAAATAAACAATTCTATATGTTCGAGATACAGAGGTCCAATTTAATTTTTCGGGTTATAGAGGGAAGATATGTGTCAAGATGGCTTGCAGAAACTCACTGATTATTTCGGCTAATAGAGGGTTGAGATTTCGAGTAATAGAGGGTTTGGGACTTGAAGGGAAGAGAACAAAACATTTTGTCGAGTTTTGGAGATTTTCGACTTATCGAGGTTCGAATTAAAGAGGTTCTACTGTATTTCTATATTCGTCACATTTTCTCCTTTCTATTCAATAAATAAAACAAAAAAATATCACTCAACATATGTAAAGTCATAAAATTTGAGAACAAAATGAAAATTTCCTTTTATTACCTTTTGTCATTTATGCTCGTTTCGTGATCACACCAGGAGAGCTTCATTGATTTTTTTTATCCTTTCGAGAGTACCTACATAATTCAATCTTGATAACCTGACAGGACTTAACTCGAATAAAGGAAACCTTCGTCCAAATGTTTTATACCTACCACATTTAGTTTTCCTTAACATTAGACATTTTCTTGAAGTAATTATTTCGTCATACAGTTTGTTCTTTTATTATTTATCGATTGAAAACGTTACCAAATTACAACCAAATCTTTATTATCAGTGATTTGAATTACAAATTTCGATTTAACGTACATAACATTTGAAAATTTAAGACAAAAAGTGCAAAAGTGGAAGTCTTCCGTCTTATCATTCGACCATTTCCCTATTTCAGAATTAAATGGAGACGTGATTATTTGTTATCGGTAATTTGATGAATAGTTTTCCAAACCTCTGGACTGGTCATGGTACTCCTGCAGTAAAAATCCTGAACTAAACAAAACCATTGCACCAAAGGAAAACCTAGAGCCCGCAACACAAGGTCACGGGTGGAGTTTTGAGTATTTGTTATTACTTTAGTTTAAGAGATTTTGTATTTTTGCTTTTCTCAATAGGTTTCCTTGGTTTGGTTTGATAGTATTGGTTTTTGATTTTTGTTTTTGGGTAATTCGGCAGCAGAAGGATCGATCGTTAGCAACCGCATCTCAACCGTGCCTCCTCCGACATGCACCGCCGTACAGCTCCGCAGAGCCTCAGTACGCTACACAGCAGAAGATTAATTCCTAACGATCGATCCCAGAGCGCACGTTTTTCCCAAGGCCGAAGCCGAGGGTCACCCCAGGATCTTTACGAACAGGACGGCACCTGCACCAGTCCATAAGTTCCCGTCTTCTTTTCGAAACCAAATTTCACAATCATGTTAACGGACGTGGATGTATTTTCTTTCTATTTCTGCTCAATCGGTAAAATGAATCCATTATTTAAATTTTGATGATGTTGTCCCTATGGGGTTGGCATTTCTTATTATTTGTTGTGGATGGTTGATAAAAATGATCTGTAAATGATAAAAATAGTAAGTTAGATTTTAAAGGTTGCATCTCGTCCGTTATAAATCTGAAAAACAAATCTCATGAGGATGTAAACTAGCGACGAGCAAAGTCGGTCTATGCAAACGAAAAATTATTAGGTATACTTCATTTACTTTCTCTAGCGATGTGCCCCTTCCAATGTCTTGAATGCGCGCTGGCAAAAAAAGCTCATTATACTCTCGACTCTTGTTCATTAAACATACTTTTTCATACAGTACCTGCCAAAAGTTTTGTTCAATCATGAATAGTAGTGCGAGTCGAAAACAAGCCTTAAAGCCCTTAATATGTCTTCAAATATAAATAAACATCTCGTTGATATTTTCAGTAGTAAATGGTACCAATAACAGCACATTTGAGCAATG